CCGTGAGAAATGATTCTGCAGGAGAGTGACACCGCATAAAATTTAATGCAGGCCATTGATTATTAAAGCCGGTCAAGATTTTATCGCCCATTCGAACTGATAAACCTGAATATCAAGTGATCGCTATCGTTATTATCATAAAAAATAAAAATATTAAACTCCGACGGCCTCTGGAAGCCGTCGGGGATACGGAATTTATGCGATAAATTTTGCGTGGGACCCGTGGGACCGTTAAGTCATGATAATTGACTAAATGTCAAAATAAATTAGGATCTACCCTTTTCCGCTATCGTTATTCTAAATTTGTACGTGCTGTCTAGGGATGCTGACGACTCAATCGACTCTATTGATTAATCGGTTTTTAAAATAATAAATATACAAGTCGGGTCAAGCCGTTAGCATCCCTGGTGCTGACAATATTCGCTTTATGTAAATAATGCGTATATGTTTATTCACGGCCCCCTGCCTATCTAAATTTGTAGAACTGGGCGGTGTTGAATTAATTACGATGCTAAAATAGTATCAATCCATTACAGTACCTAATATAGCGACATGCAATTAATTATTGTTGTGTCGAATTACTACGGTGCAAAGTATAGTAACTCACAAATTACCGTAGATTGAATCATATACAAAAAAAAAGATATAAGTCCTCTCTTTTTTTTAGTGCGAGAATCCATTAAATCGAATTCATACTAATAACATATTTTCTTTTTTTTGAAAGTCATAATGCAAGCATCAACTAATAAGCGAAAAGGGGAGAATGTTATAACACAGAATGCACGGCCTACTGAAACCAAATTGTTGAGACAGGCCCATACACGCAAAAACAAAAAACTTAGGTGTGATTAGAAACAAGCCGAGATGCTTCACGAGTTGGACGTTAACATCCCTTTGCTAATCGATGATATCATCTCCAATCCATCTCGACATCGAATCCAATCCGCCACCTAAAAAATATCTGCTAATGATAATATTTATTATTTGGAGAGGGAGTGGACAAGTATTCCCCTCTGCTCTTCAGATCGGGTATCAACCAAAAAAATAAGATTCGGTACGACATATCGGCCGAAGAATTGCTAATTGAAACTCTAATTAGAGAAGCAAAATCTTCTGACAGTAACTCTTTTGAGTTGCCTGAGATTTCGTCAAACTTTCTCTTTCTGATCTATACTGACATTATTAGAGAGACCTATGTTAGCATTGAGGGATCATCACCTAATACCACTAATAAGCGATTGTGGGTTGCTTTTGGCCAGTGGCTAGGTTTAAAGGGGCAAGATGGTCCATTAAAAAGAAAGCACATACGACAGCACCTCAGGTTGTTATGGAAAAAACTCTGATATGCTCATAATATCCAAAGTGATAGGGACTTTCAAGATCTTTTTGACATAGCTACTGCTTTTAATACTCGAAGAGAAAAGGCATGTCTGATCATATCAGCACGTCATAATCCTTAATCGATAAGTGAATTGGTCCAATTCAAACATATAGCGGAACCAGAGTGCATTACGGATCTAAGTGGCCGAACATTGGTTCACTTAGAGCAACTTGATGACTACAATACCATTATACTTGCAACCAATACTGTAAATAATTATTATTTTCATACGTTGGAGCATCTATCACATCGAAGCAACGAATTTTGGACCAATTTTATCGAACATTTCAGGGCTTATACCAGAAACAACTTGCTCCCTTTTACAAGCTCCAATACTGCAAGTACGCATAATATTGATCACCATGAATACATTAACAAATTACTTCAAGATCTCAAGGCATTATCAGACTGTCAACCGGTTCCTCCGAGACTATTATGAAGATTTATATACGAAATTGAGTGGGCTGTCATGGGGTCCATTTGCGCCAAAGCCCTTTGGAGTTTTCCCAATGATAGCTATTAATTTTAATACCACTAGTGACTATTATTGGGATGAGCATGACGAGGCAAATAGTTTATGTGTTTTAGTTGCACTAGGAGATTATGAAGAAGGAGAGTTATGTTTTCCTCAGCTCCAAATGGTCATACATCTTAGGCCAGAACAAATCATAGTATTTGCCTCACGTTTATTACTTTATGGTAATTTTTCAGTCACTAAAGAGATCCGGCATAGTGTTATTTATTTTGTACATGGCACATTTTTCTACCATTTACGGGATTTTACTAAAGCTTATATTAAGGCTGGAATTAAGAAAGGTGCTAATAGACCAATGGTTTCTGAGCAAGATCTTAACAATGCTCAAGGTTTAAACCACCAGACCCATCTCCCCAAACCGAAAGCAAAACAAATACAGGTCTCTTCCGCTGTATCTGATCGGAGACGAGAATATATAGGTATGAATTGTTTTATGATGCTATATTATATATGGACAAAAAACATAGTTATTAATAATTGACGTTTCTCTAGATTTAGTACGTGCTCGACAAGGGTTAAAGACGGAAGATCCGCTTCCAGATTTATAGTAGCTATGTTTCATGTATGATATTTGTACATGTGTCTTCTTTATTAAGGTGTGCTTAAGAAGTCTTATTTCCTTATCGCTATTTTCTATTTATATTTCTGCACTGCATTACTTAATTATTATCTCTTAAACCATTCAAATAAGCAGGCAAATTTGCTTGCTTAAATTTTATAAATTCATGTCTGATCTATTTTTTTTAAAAAATAAAAATATTTAATAATTTTTTTTTTTAAATAAAAACTATGATAAGGGTGTGGCGACTTAGTGAAGTGGTGAAGTTGTCGCACCCCCAAGCGGTTGAGTACAAGTTCAATTCCCACTGCAGACGAAAATTGAATTTCGAAAAACGGATTCGGTAACTAACGTCGTGGCCGGGAAAACTCGAGACCCTGTAACTGTG